ATCCCAGGGCAGTGTCCCCACACTGCCCTCAGGGTAAGGAACAGGCTGCTCTCCTTCCTGTGCCTCAGCTTGAGACTCGAGGACCCAGTTCCACGAGAGATGGCCCACGTGGGTACTGTGGCCGTAGCCTGCCTCATCTGATGGCACCATGGCAGCTACAGCCAACAGATGGCAGTTCCCCCAGAGCAGTCCAGATCAAGGGAGAGCAGAGGCCAGGCCGTGTGAGCCCAGGTCTAGCACCAAGATCCTCTCTTCACCTGAACTCTAGCCAGGCTCCTCTGAGCCCTCTTCATAACCAGGTCTCAGTCTTGGCCTATAATAACTAGACTTGGGCCAGCAGGTCATGTGGAGTGCCGGACCTAGCAGCTTGGAAAACACACTGGGTGCATGTGCACGCATGCCCAAAATCCTGAGAGGAGAATGGAGAAGGGACTGAGGTGTGGCCATCCCCCCAGGAGGTGCTTTCTTGCTTTCTCTCTCTCTCTCTCTCTCTCTCTCTGAAAAGTGCATGTGCCTATAGCAAAAACGCTTAAAAAAAATGGGGGGAAAAAGGAAACTGTAGACTTGGGGAGCTGGATGGTGCTTTGGTATGAAACATGACCCTTGGAGGCAGACTCACACCTTGCAGTTCCCTCGCCCCTCCCAGGTGAGTATGTATCTCCCATGACCAGGATTGTCTTTCTCAAGGACCTAAGGGCCATTCCTTTGACTTAGCCTCGTCAGGAAGAACAGGTCTCTGTCTCCCAGTCTCTGTGGGAAGGTAGAATCCTGACTCGCATAACTGCCACTTGGTGGATACAGCAGACCCTGTCAGTGCTTACCTGACTGCCTCTGGGTGATTTTTCATCTCCTGACTCTGCTAAGCCCTCACCATTGCCCTCCCTACTCCCACACCCCCCTTTAAAACAGCAGTCCCCTCTGTACGAGGGGGGTGAGTTCTCACCGGGCCCTCTTCCCTACTGCAACCTACGTCACCCAGTGAAGTTTGTCCTTCAAGGTCAGCAATGGCGCGTGTGGCAGTTAAGGTGGCTGGATTCCCACATGGCCAGCCACGTGGTTCAAGTTCCACATCCAGCAGCTTGGAAAACATGCATGGCACATGTACACACATGTGTACTCCAGAGCCCGAGAGGAGAATGGAGAAGGGATTTGGGCATGGCCATCCCACCCGGGGGTGATTTCTCATTTTCCTGCTCTCTGTCTCAGGTGAGTGCACATGCCATGTAGCAAAAAAAAAAAAAAGTTCTTTGCCACTTTGATGTCTGACTTTATCTTTGACACGGCACTGAGCCTGACTCACAGAGGCTGCTGAGTGGCTAATGTGCCAGAGGCCCCCTCTGCATAGTCACAAGCCCCCATTGTAGTAACCAAGGCTGGCTGCAGGTGGCAGAGCTCAGATACCTACACGGATCAGTCCAAGATGGAAACTCAGTGAGTAATGCACCTGGGGCCTAGATCACCTTAATAGCCTTAGGCATAGTGGATTAGTCACTATTTTTTAAAGAATTATTTATTTACTTAATTCCATTTGTTATTATTTTTTAATTTGACCAGTGAGAGAGGAAAGGGAACGCAAGACAGCATGCCACCAGGTCTGGGACTCAAACTGCAGTTGAAATTCACCTTGTAAAAAAAAAAAAAGGGCATGGATTTACACTGCAAAAGGTGTCCACAGTGTATTAATGACATTCTTTCATTGACAGCTGACATAAATTCATTTAGAGTGGAATATTTTAAGCCAAAAAAAATCCCATTTTTAAAGGAGGGGTTTAGGGACCAGCAAGTGGCGTGGTGATTAAGGTGCTGGACACTTCCCCATGGCAGACCAGGGTTCGAGTCCTGATGGCTTGCCTTCTCACTTCTCCTCTCTCTCTTTTCGTGTGTCTCTCTATGTCAAATAAAAAATAAATGAATAAATCAAATAAAATAATTATTTAAAAAAAAGGGGGGGGGGTTAAATATTGTTGGCGTTCTTATGGTTTCTTTAAATGCCCCTGGATGTTTCCAGAGGTTTTTGTTTTTTCTTTGTTTTTCCCCTTTTTCTAATTATTTTTTTAAAGAATAATTTATTTAACTTTATTTGTTCATTTATTTTTAGTTTGACTAGAGAGAGACAGAGAGAGAAAGAGAAAGCCACCAAGTCTGGGACTTGAACTGTGGTCGGAGTGGGAGTATTGAGCGCCTTAACCACCACACCACCTGCTGGTCCCTCTCATTCGGTCTTAGCACTCTGAACTTATGCTACCAACCTATTATAGTTTGTGAGCTTGCCCAGAAAGACCGCTGTTAACTCCCACGAAAGTATGAATGAATTTGTCGCTGCCACAATCGTTCCTGTTGCCTGTGGAGTCTCTGCTGAAGTGAACCAGGATTCAAACCCGAAAATGAGACCGGAAATGAAAGCATGCTGTTTACCGGGTCACTGCGGGTTTCTACCAATGTGGGACCGGTTGGTTCCGAACACTGGATTTCACGCTACTCTGTTCTACCCCCCCAAGGCGGTTGGGTTTATTTATTTTTGTTCTTGTTTTTTATTTTTTTGGAAAAGCAATTAACTAGTCCCAGTAAGGATCCTTCAGTTATGTAAACTTTTATTGAATGAAAAAAAAAACCCCAGAGAATTATTTATTTAATTTCATTTGTTATTATTATTATTATTTTTGAGAGATTTTCACTGTAGAGCGCGTGCGCTCGCCAGACAGACAGAGACATAGAGACAGAAAGCGAGAAATCACCCCCCAGGGGGGATGGTCACGCTGCAATCCCTTCTCCTCCATTCTCCTCTCGGGATCTTGGGCATGCACGCACACGCGCCCGGCGTGAGTTTTAAGCCACCGGGTCCGGGACACGA